AAATTTTTAAATTAAATTTTAATTAAATAAAATGATATAATTTAATATTAAAATTTTAATTACTTTTTAGAAATTAAGATTGATACGAGGCTTTTTCTTGTATATAATCCCTAGGAGAGGTTTCTTAAACACTTGGGAACTTAATTGTTGCAGGGGAAACGGAGCCCATTGGAAGGACTATTAGCAATAAATTCTTAGAAGCCATTTACGACAGCGACTGGGACACCGTAATAAAATTGTTAGGAGAGCTTCCTGGAAAAAATCCACAATTTTTGGGTGATTATACTAGCCTTCTTCATCTTGCAGTAAATTCAGGTGACGTTAAGGGGGTTGAGAAACTGGTGAAGATAATGTCCGAAGAAGAAATCTTGTCCCGAGATGAAAGTGGTCGCACAGCTCTTGCCTATGCTGCCTACTTTGGAAGAACGGCCATTGCAAAATGCTTAACTACAGAGAACAATAATTTGCTCACAACCCCAGACACAGAAGGAATGATTCCTGTGGTGCGTGCATGCGTCCAACGCTACAAGAAAACAACAGTCTATCTATACTTTGAGACTCTAGAATTCCTAGCTCCGGACGAAGGCGAGCATGGTTCCTTACTGCTCCATTTTTGTATGCTTAGTGAAATGCTTGGTAAGAGTTTTAATTATATACCTACATAGATTATATGATATATATATATATATATTCTATCTTATTATCATTTTCCAGTACAGTAATTAATTACTATTTTTTTGGTGGAAATTATAAAATACTTTTTCTTATGTACTGATATATATGATCAGATATTGCTTTGGATCTACTGCGCCAATATCCGCGTTTGGCATTCACCAGATTCAAATACAATAATCGGGTGTTGACTCCGATTCTAACATTGTCTGCTCAAGCTGCTCTGTTCCCTAGTGGAACCCGGCTTTCACTTCTGCAGCAATGGATTTATAATGTTATATCCGTTGACCGGGCACGCACACTCTCTACTGATGTTCGTATTTCTATTACTTCAATGAACCAAAAGGAACAGAATGCCATCAGAAGACAAGGTGGCTTTTTTTCTTTTTCTTTTTTAAATAACCATTGCTATATATAGGTAAAGGAGTACAGTACATCAAGAAAACTAGATATTATATAGCAGAGTACCAAGGATTTATAGGCTCACAACATATAGGAATAGGATAAGAAATCATCAAAAATGGAAAAAAAAATGATTAATACATATTATGATTTAACATATTATATAACACATTACAAAATAAGATTACAAATAAGACTACAAAGTAGATAGATGATTACTTCAACCTCCTTCAACCTCCTTCAAGACTTGAATTTTATTTGTCATATGATTGAAATTAGATGCCTTAATATTTCCTTTTCTATTAAGATAACGGTTATTTTATTAGTAAGGCGTTAACGGTACCAAAATCCAACAAACTAGCTCCAAACTTTTCTTTTTGAAGTGACTCCCACACAACCACGGTAAAATTCAAGACAATTTTTTTTTTCTTTAATTGCTTCTCTCAATTGCTTTTCGAAATATAGGTCAATACTTTTTTTTTAACACAAGTAAGTCTAATTTGTTTTAACAAATAATTCAATAATTAACAATTTTAAGTATATAGTATTCTGCAAATTATTACAAATACCTAGCAAATTATTGTATATCTTATGAGAATGGAGTTAATATATTGCAGAGCTAAGTCGTCTCCACGGTGGATTGAGTTTGTTTTTTCGGGGTATACGTGGATTTAGTTCAATGCTCCAAAAGTTTTTGGGTACGTGCTTTTTTTATTTTCATGAAATCCTTTTCTTTAAATTCATTATATTTTAGATGATAATCCTCATGGTAGAGATGACTTTTCTCGTCCACTTCAAGATTCAAATTGTATGTTTGTTAGAATTTATATATACTTTTGATTTGCATATGGTATATATATTGATATTAATTTGGGGATACGCATGCAGGAATCGAAGACATATGCGAACGTAAGTTGATCCATGCAAATGCCTTGGAAATTCTGTCTTTGACAGCCAGTGAATTATCAAAATTGAATGCAGAAGAAATGGTTGAGAGTAGAGTCGTCCCAGCTTTGTTCCAATCTATCCAGCATGGCATAACAGAGTTTATGATAATTGGAGAAGCTAATCCTGATGTATTGTCATCCGCCATTGATGGAAAGACAAAGTTCCTAGAAACTTACGCAATCGAATGTCGTCAAGAGAAGTATTTTCATGAGCTTGGCGCTAGAGAGGGAAAAATTTTGACTACATGGACAGATAATGATGGCAACAATGCGCTTCACGTAGCAGCAAAGTTAAGTCCAGAGTCTTATCTTGCTCAATTTTCAGGTGCAGCCCTTCAAATGCAAAAGGAATTACAATGGTTCAAGGTATTCAGTTAGCTTATATATTTATTTTTTCATCAACCATGCAAAATTAATATCTATCATGGCATTTTATAATTATTTCCTTTATTAACTTTACTGTGTAAAAATATTTAGTAGCTTACAATTGCCTTTCTTCTTCCAAAAAAAGAAAAAGAAAAGAGGTTAGTGGCTTAATTTAATTATTAATTGACGCAGGAATTTGAGTCCAAATTTCCAGAGTGTAAAAGCTGGGTGAATCACAATGGAGAAACTCCTCGGCAAATGTTTACCAGGGAACACATGAAATTGTTAAAAGAAGCTGAAGCATGGATGAAGAAAATAGCAAATTCTTACATTATAGTTGGTACCCTCATCATCACTATTATGTTTGCTGCAGCCTTCACCATTCCCGGTGGTAACAATGGAAATGGCTATCCCATGTTCTCACATAAAAGATTATTTTTGACATATATAATGTCAGATGCAATTTCTCTGTCCGCTGCATCTACTTCAGTGCTGACGTTTTTAGGAATCCTCACATATCCCTACACTGAAAAAGATTTTCTTTGGTTGAGTGTCGGCATTCTCACGCTCCTTATTTCTGTTGCAACAATGATGGTAGCTTTTTGTGCTGCTGTTTCTATAATGCTACCGGATCGATGGTGGGTAATCTCCTCGCTAGTTTTGCTCGCCAGCATTCCGGTCGTTGTCTTTTGGTCATTGCAATCTCAAATTCTTATTGAGATTTTTTATTCAATTTATGGGCCGGGAAACTTTAACAGGGAGAGATCCTTCATAAGAAAAAGGATGTCACCCATAATGGGGATATTTAGAAGCAAACCTACGAAGGGTGGGGAGTAGTTAGTTAAACTACTTTTGTATCTTATATTGATCATATGATTTGGCTTTATATGTATCGCAGCTGCAATTATTTTTTTTTTTTTGAAAAGCAAAAGTAATATTTATTGAAACGGGGTACAAGGGGTACCCCAAACCCGTAAACATCTCAGTTTGAAAGCAAAGGGATAGTCAAAAAGCCCTTCCGTTCGGTGTCGACACCTATATAATGTGTCGACACCATGTCCGTGTCGGAGATTTGGCTCAGCTCTTCCGTTTGGTGTCGACACCCTAATAAAGTGTCGACACCACGTCCGTGTCGGGATTCACAAATGCTCAGCCCTTCCAGAATGCCATAACCTCCCTTTTTTATGCCCTCTGTCATCCTTTTTTCTTGCTGCAGTTCACCCTCATACATTCAGTCGGGTTTAATATCCAATCGGAGAGGGAAAAAAAACAACCTCCCCATCTGCCTTTTAACCAGTGGAAGGCACGTAGTTGGATTAACTCAAATAACCTTCCTTCCTTCTGTGCTTTCCCTGTGAATATTTGCTCGTTCCTAGCCAACCAAATTGTCCA